GGAACTCGATTCGTTACTCACGCGCTGTTCTCTACGCGCACAGCCGCACACATGAACACATGAAGCGCGCACACGCGTTTCAGACGGCGCGCGAACACCAAACTGAATCCTCTTCTGAATCCTCTGAACAGACACATACACATAAAATTATGACAAAATACCCATCTCGACAATCATTCAGGTAAACGCAGTCAGTTATTTCTCAAGTGAATGAAAACAGCTGAGAAAGAAATCGGATGTGATGTGTATCATTATTAGAGGTCGACCGATAGTGGATTTTGCCAATACCGATAGCTATGATGGACCACACTGGCCGATACAGATTAATTAACCGATAGTTTTTAAAATGGATACTGAACAAAACGCGCTGTTCTCTACGCGCACAGCCGCACACATGAACACACATGAAGCGCGCACACGCGTTTCAGACGGCGCGCGAACACCAAACTGAATCCTCTTCTGAATCCTCTGAACAGACACATACACATAAAATTATGACAAAATACCCATCTCGACAATCATTCAGGTAAACGCAGTAAGTTATTTCTCAAGTGAATGAAAACAGCTGAGAAAGAAATCGGATGTGATGTGTATCATTATTAGAGGTCGACCGATAGTGGATTTTGCCAATACCGATAGCTATGATGGACCACACTGGCCGATACAGATTAATTAACCGATAGTTTTTAAAATGGATACTGAACAAAAACTAAAATAGTGCTTTATTAAAAAAAACAGTACTGAACCATACTACTACTACTAGTAGTAGTAGTAGTAGTAGTAGTAGTAGTAATAATAGTAAATGTTGAAATTAACACACTCTAACAAGGAACAATACGTACACAGCTTTCATTAATCTTAATGTTACAAATGGGACTCTTATTTTAAAGTGTTAACATTTCATTTCAACAGTCATGCTTAAAGATGCACATCTTTAAATATATACACAAAGGCCATAGCATTCAAATTATATACACAGCCCTATATATACACAAAGGCTATAGCATTAAAATGATATACATATGGATATTGTATGTATACTCTCACACTTTAACTGCTTCTATTCTTGAACACTTGATGATTATCTAATCAAAATAAAAGTGCAGCACTGAGTCTAGGAGAACTCACCGGTATCACACACACTCAGGACGCGTCGCGTTCAACTCGAGCAGTGGTCTAAAACAGTTTATTTAATCACCAAACGGACACAAGTTTACTTCAAGAATCAACAATGAGGCATAGATGAGTATAAAGTTTGGTGTTTAAAAAACGGAGCAAACGGAAAGAGAAAGTGCGATCTATATTATAGCTCTATAAATGAAGCATACAGAATTTATTAGAGCCACAGAAAGACAAATGTTTCGCTGAAAATGAACAATACACAATTCATTATGTACATCAACAAAGATTTGGGACAAATGCAATTTAATGGAAAACTATGTGAATCGCGCTCTGTGGCGCGGCAGGATTTTCTGTCGGCTGCATTTAAATCCGTGTCTGAAGTTTCCCCCTCTGTTCAGCGTGCAGTGTCATGTGTCTAAACAAATAGCACGTGCTGTCAGTGATTTCAACCACTAGAGTCCGCTCTCGCACTGTATAACGACAGTAGACCCTTCTCAGCTGCTCCAGCAACGGACGCAATCCGGAAAACTATCGGCATTGATTTTTGCCGATAACCGATAGTTCCAGCAATCAACTATCGGTGCCGATTAATCGGCAAAACCGATACATCGGTCGACCTCTAACATATTCTGTTGTATTTATCTATGCTTGTAATTTGTGTATTTGTTCCTATTTTTACTGGCTGTTCTCTTGTCTCTTTAATCATGTTTAAACTTTCTTAGTTAATCTAGTAGTATTTGCTGTGGTATCAAAGAAGTACTTCGCTTTAAGTAATAAATGGAAAGCAAGTTAAATTGAAATATTTTTCTTTTCTTGCTGATCCGAAAAAATGATCCAATCCGTGGATCAAAAACCGTAATGTGATCCGAACCGTGAGATTTGTGATCAATTGAACCACTAGTATTTTCATAACAATAAAGGATGTTTATGAGAGAAATACTAAGCAGGTGTAGTCATTAGCTGATTATAAAAGGCTATTAATAATATTTCAACAACATTATATGACCAAAAGTTGCATTAGATCGCAACCGGAAGATATTACAAACACTCAATGGTGTGTTTAAAGTGAGTTTTGAGTAAAAGCATAGTATTAATCTTATAAATTGTCTTTTGTATTATGATGCTAATAGTAGCTCTAATGCACCGGTTACCCTGCAGCGATTATATTATTTATTTTGGCAAAATAATTCAGGTTGGGTCATGTTTTCTTTTATTCTGTAGACTCTTTATTAATAAATGGATAAATGTATATTGGGATCAAAGCGATGTGGGCCAAGAGGCACTGGACTATGAGGAGTGGAAGAAGAGGTTTTATAAAATGAAAAAAAATTGGAGGCTGAAATGTTATGGCTCTGGTTGTGCACTGTGAAAATGACTTTAATGCAATGTTTAATGTTTATTTTCAACTACTCTGCAAAAGAGACCCTTTTAGCTGTTATTTTGTATTTAGTGTTCAGCAGGCTTTAACTGTCATTCATTTTCTTCAATCATCTAATAATTAGAACATGTCAGTCACAAATTATGCTCTGATATGTGTATCCACAGTGGCTCTGGACATCCTAATGGCCGATGCGTTTCAATGCTGGACAAGTAAAAAAATAAATAAACACACCACCAAAGAAAAAAAAAACAACTTCAGTTTGTCAGCGGGCGATAGTTCGTATTCGGTGTGAATAGCTCCATAGGAATCCATTGCCTCTATTCAAAATCTTCTTCTAAGACTTAGACTAAGGAATGGTAAGGAGACTTTGGGAGGAAAAGAATTCCATTCAACCCTTTCACCATAAATGGCGAAGACACTGGGGTGGAATAGGCCTACATGGGGTCCCCCTGGTCAATAAACAAGAGTGGGTAGCAAAAACAAACTCCTTGTATAAGAAGGGGCTGCAGTACATAGGCAGGAGGTGCCACAAGGCTCTAACTTAATCAAGAAAGGTACCTTAGTTCAAGACCAAACCTCGTTCTCCTACAGGTGGTGGTTGAAGGCAATGCTGTCCAGGCTTTCAGAAATCATTAAAAGCATCCATATCATGGGGCTCCACTGAGTCCCTTCTTCCTTGCTGCCATTAAAGGTGTGCAACTCTCTCAGATGAATATGCCTAGAAAGAAGCATAGCTGCTGAAATAACTGAATGTCCTTTTTGGAATCAATAAAGTGTTCTCTTGCTTTCTCACAATTCAAAACAAGACGTATCTTTTTGGGGTAACACCAAGTGCACCGAGAAGGTGCAAATGAATCTGCCATGCAACCACCCACCTTGTTATGGAGGTGGTGTTTTACACAGAATCTCTAAAATAACACTGAAAACTTGTACAGAAATTCTGAAGAATCAGTTAAAAGAAAACTTGTATCGTGTGGTATTGTATTAGCACTTTTTATTGTTTGTTCTATTATGGATGTTCATTGTCTCATTAATTCAACTCAGTGATTTCATTGCTCGAACTAAACATTTACAGAGTTTAATAGCTTTTCTTATTCACCAGTGTTTGGTTACTTCCATTAGCTAATTTGAATAAGTAGATTACTTCCAGTTGAGTATTTTGGTTTCCTTGCCATATACAGATTCTCTTTTAAGTGCAAATAAACCTTTTTGTTCAAACATGCCCTATGCACGTCCATTGATAAGATTTATCTCTTTGCGGTGAGACACTCTTTACAACATCAAAGAGGGGAAGACGGAAATCATGATTTTACAGATTTTTACAGACTATTTCTGGCTGAACTGAAGCATATCCGCATCATGGGATTTTGCATGACTGTTAAAAACAGCATCTTCACGTCATACTATGAACGCTGGTGACAAACTTTACTATTTCTCTGCCTTTCATCACCTATGTCATCCCAGTATGATTAAAAGATAACAGTCATTGCTTTGCACATGAAATACTTCCCAAATTAAAATGCAGCCTTTAAAATCTCTCAAAAGAGCTGAATAAAAAACAGTTATGGACTTAGACAGATAGAGAGAATGATGCTTTTAAACACATGATATTAGAGAGTAAAGTAGGAGCCATTTTGCATGCTCTAATGGGTTGTGACAATCAATATATCATTAGCCTGCACTGCAATTTTAATTATCGACAGATGTCTTTTTTTTTTTTTTAAGTTCTTTCTGCTGTACTCTCAGAAGCTAAATGATGCAAACTCATTCCCAATGCAACAGGCTGGGTTTTGACTGTCTGCAAGTAAATAATAATAATAATAATAATCAAATCAGAGGTTTTCAGAAACCCGTTTACATCTCAAGTGAATATCAGTGTCCCAAACACAAAGCATACTAATCATAATCATTAGGACAAACAAAATGAATAAGCCTTTCACAAGTGAAATAATGAGGCCAAAACCAAGATGCAGATGTGTGCGGCAGGGCAGTGCTTTTGGTAAAGAAACCATTGACTCCTGGTTTAGGGTTTACATTGTATGACAACATTAGGGATGCACAATGTTTCTGTGGTCAAATTGGTATCACTCAATAAATGTGACTGTTCATCAGTCTGATAAGTAAAAAATGCAGATATATTTAATATAATGTTTGGTATCAATATAAGAATGTAGATGTCTGGATCTTTAAAGTAAGATGTCAACCATCAGCTAATGTCAGCCAATGTACCGGTTATCAGCTTCAAAAATAAATAATTATTAGTATCAGCCAGAAATGTCCATATAAATGCATACCAAGACAGTGTGTCTATTAATTAAAAAAGTGGAGTCAAGGAAAGTAGACTAAATGAGACATTTCAAGAACCTAAGGAGTCAAGGGTGCTTACCCTTGCTCTGATGAATATTTGTACCATGCACAATGAAGAATTACCTCTATTTCCTGAGTCGTTCATTTGTTTAGATCTGATTTGATTTTAGGCTGTTTTCACATGTCATACCTCACATTCCCGAGAGCCGGATATGGTGCAGGTGCAGGTACCTGTCCCATTGCCCAGCACCTCCAAGGCTTCTGGCGTGGCTGCAGGGTTGTAGCTCATGTAATATTCCTGGAGCTGGGAGCTCAGGTTCTGTTCTGGCTCCTGACTCTTTTTCCTCCGCTTACGGCCCACTGTACTCTGCTGCAAAAGCCGGGTGGCACCAGGGTAACGTTTCCAGGAGACATAAATTACCGACAAGACAAGGGACACTGAGAGGAACAGTGCTACCCCACCCATCACCACTTTGTGAAATGACACGTTGTCTTGCTCAGGAGCTGGCGTGACTAATAAGCTGTCGGATGATGAGGGTGTCCATTGATGGGAGTCTCTGGGATCTGGATTTGCACGGCTGGGGAAGGTGGGGCGTTGAGGCGGTCGAGGATGGGGAGGTGGAAATGGCACCTCAGAGGCAGGTGAAGGCAAGGGTGGAGGCGGTGTTGTAGGAGCCATTGTCGGGTCAGTCGGTTCAAGGGTAAGGTCAAAATTTGGATCAAAGGTCTGCAGATACAAAGGTGATTGAGCAGTAATTTCGTAGTCATCACAGTCAATGTAGGTCTTTGAAGCCTCCATAACCTTCTCCCCTTGAAGGTGCTTAGGACTGCTGCAGATTATACTAGTGTCCTTGGTGCCTCTGAAATTCTTGAGCCAGACAACAAGAGGACAAATGCCTGGTCCACAATCCCACATGTTGCCTGCAAGGCTAATGGTTGTTAGGGAGATCCAGGCAGCCACAACCTCCTGAGACACATTGGCCAGTTTGTTAGACTCTAAGTTGAGGACCTGAAGATTGGGGAGGCATTGAAATACTACAGGATCTAGTACCTGTATCTCATTGCCAGAGATATCAAGCTTTTGCAAGGTGTACCAGCTCCACGGAAGGCCTTGGTTGACAGCTCGAATACGGTTCCATTGTAGATACAGGGCACGAAGGTTAGCAAGGCGAGGAAAAAGAAAGAAGTTGATTCGTGAAAACTGATTATGCGATCGTCGTCAGCACGTTGAACCGCAAGTGCAGATTCTGCAGTTTTCGAAGACCAAAAAACTGGCCCGGCTGCAGCTCCTGCAACTTGTTGTAGGAGAGGTCGAGACTGCGTAGGTTAGGTACTCCGTGAAAAGTGACATTATGAAGCTGTGAAATTCTATTGGAGCTCAAGATCAACTCCTTCAATCGTCGCACCCCTTGAAAAGCACGACTATCCACAAACATGATTTGATTGTGGTCCAGGTACAGCCACAGTAGCTGGTTAAGATGGGCAAACTGGTAAGGGAGCATTGTGTGCAGGTCATTGTAGCGCAGGGATAGACCTTGACAACTAACTGAAATATGTTCTGGGATGTCTTGGAAGCCAGCCGACTCACAATGGACAATCTTTCCCTCGCAACGGCAGCTATAGGGGCACATCCTTTCCCCAGAACTGAACAGCAGGAGGGAGGAGGCTTGAAGGAGGAGGAGGCCCGCTAATCTCTTGTCACAAATAACAGAACCTGCAGAGGGAGAGAGCACAACATCAGCTTATCATGTTTAACAAGAAGACCAATTTTACTTGGCAAAATATTCAGCTGTCGAGGCTCATATTAAATTGCTGCTACCATCCACACCTATAATATTTTTCTTAGGTCAAGAGGTCATTATCTAATTTGACATAACTGTTTGATACTCTTCTGTATGACTCATCTGCAATCTTGGTGAAATTTAATTAGCATTCAAGTGAAACAACAAGTTCAATTCAAATATCACCCAGGACTGAAATGCTGTCATTCACAGAAATGCTAAAGGGATAATTCACCCAAAAAAGGAAATTCTGTCATTAATCACCCTTATCTTGTTCCAAACCCATAAGACCTTCGTTCATCTTAGTCACAAATTAAGATATTTTTAATGAAATCCTAGAGCCTTCTGACCCTGCATAGACAACAATGCAACTACCATGCTGTGGTGGAATGCACACGCATGCGTCGTGGTAACTGTTGAATGAAGTCATTATTTTTGTTTTCTTTGCTCACAAAAAGTATTCTCATAGCTTCATAACATTACGGTTGATTGATATTTAAACGATGCTCTTACAACCTTTCTGGGCCTTGAACATGTCAGTTGCATTGCGGTCTATGCAGGGTCAAAAGATCAAAAATATCTTAATTTGTGACGAAGATGAACGAAGGTCTTACGGATTTGAAACAGTTTGAGGGTGAGAAATAATGACAGAATTTTCATTTTTGGGCGAACTATCCCTTTAATGGTAATAGGAGTTAATAAAAATGGTCATTTATAGGACAATTTTCTGTTTTAGTGTATTGCAGATTTATGAGAAGCTGATTGTACATGATGGCTACTCACCAAATAAATAAATATTAAATCAAATTAAAAAAAAGAGAATAAAATTAAAACATGAAAAATTGCACCTGGTTCTTTTGAATTATTATTTCAGTATTAGGTATTCAGTTAAATGTTACTCAAAATGTTCCCTTTCAGTCGGTCACTCTCAAAGTCACGTCGGTGACTGACGAATTGGGATCTCGCTTCGAGAGACCAATCTACTTCGAGAGTAACTAAACGAGCCAATGCACATTGGCATGCGATGATTGCATCCAGCTGCCGCTGATCACAGCGTGAGCATGAAAAGGCAGCAAGTGCAACGCATACCAGCTTTTCGCTTCGGAGCCGAGCGACAACATCATTCTGCTCCAACCAGTGTCTTCAGTGTCTACGAGTTCGACGCGCTCTTGGAAGCTTTCTGTGTTGGCTGACGGCGCTTCAGCGGTGGTCGTTCCTGTGTCGAGTGGGTTGCGCACTTCAGGCTGCACTACCCCTGTCGTGCTGCAAGTGGCCATCTCCCCTGTGCACCTCAGCACATAAAAGAGCATTTCCCTGAAAGAGCCAATTTCTCTAAAAGAGCTCACACGGGTGTGTCTTTGTAAAGACGACGGATCGTTTCACCCGTGCGTTTCTGGATGCGGTCGTTATCTAGTACCGGATTATGGTCACGATTGCTGCCTCACATGTCTGGGCATTAAACACCCTGGCATGACCAGGCTTCGTTACCTCCAAGGGGGCGGAGCTCCGTTGCCTCTGCCGCGATCTAGTGTTCGTACTGGCGGCTGCCAGGCGAGGACTACTTCCGGCAGTAGCACGGGTGGCTTGAGGGTAACAGTGGTGGCAAACCCCTCAGGGAACCAACCCTCGGGGGCCCACCACTACTCTAGTGCTTCAGATCCAGTCGAGCGGCCAAAGGAACACGCTGGGCCCTCTTCAAAGGGTGTACCAGCGGTATCCTGCGGTACTCCTCCCGATGACCGGATGTCGATCACTGCATCAGAGGGAGAGCTCTCTGGAGAGGAAGATTCGGCTGCACTGCCGCCCTCCGGGATGGTGGCAATGCCTGAATCGGATCCAGAGATGTCGGCTATGCTTTCCCGGGCTGCCGAGAAGGTAGGGCTCGAGTGGAAACCTGAGCCCTCCCGAGCCCTCGAGGTTGGATGATTGGTTTCTCGGGGTGGCTTGCGCTGGTTCTCAGCGCCCCGCCCCGGAGCCTTTCTTCCCGGAAGTGCATGACGAGCTCACCAGGTCGTGGACGGCACCTTTTACTGATGCTGTGGTTTACACGGATGCCTCCACCACTGGCTAGGGGGCCACGTACAACGGGCATGCAGTGTCGGGGGTGTGGAGGGGCCCCCAACTGCACTGGCATATCAATTGCCTGGAGTTGTTAGCGGTGCGCCTTGCCTTGAACCGTCTCAAAGGGTGGTTACGAGGCAAGCACGGGCTGGTCCGAACGGACAACACGGCGCCCGTTGCGTACATCAACCGACAAGGTCGTCTACACTCCCGTCGCATGTCGCAACTCGCCCGCCACCTCCTCCTTTGGAGTCGGAAGGTTCTGAGGTCACTTCATGCTGTTCACATTCCGGGCCTGCTCAACCGTACAGCCGACGAGCTGTCTCGAGCAATGCTCCCGGGAGAATGGAGACTCAATCCCCAGACGGTCCAGCTGATTTGGAGACGTT